TTTTAGAAAATTTGCTAAAAATAAAAAAAAAAATTCCTGTATTTTTTTGCTCTTTTTTAAACTTTTTTTACTCTCTATACTGATTATTGCTTAGGATTTTTTTACCGACTTTGTCCCTGGATTCTGCTTAAATCAGTTTCGTCTGCATTTAATTACTTGCTAATCTGTAGTGAAAATCTATAGTGATGATCTATAATACCTATGCCATTGATTTGTACTTCTACGTTAATGGTTTGTCCCGTTTTTGTTCCAGAAGTATTAAATGAATTGGAGATTCTTTTTCCTTTTATTGTCTGGAGTTTCTAGAAAATTTGTCAAAAATTAAAAAAAAAATCCCTATATTTTTTTGCTCTTTTTTTTTTTTTTTTTAAACTCTATACTGATTATTATTGCTTGGGATTTTTTTACCCCTTTTCTTTCCTGCTTTTAGTCCTACACTTCCTTTATCATTTGTTTTAATTGAACTTTTTTTTTGCACTCTTTTTCCACTGACTTCCAACTGTTACATGTGCTATTATCATTGGTTATCTTCCTCTTTATATATATAGAAGATCCTGCTGATATATATTAATTCGTTGAATAAATTGTGTCATCAGTTTTGTTTTACATCTGACATCTTCCCTCATCCACTCCATCATCGATAATTTATTATTGTGCTTTACCTTGCCTCTTAATTGGTCCATTATTTTATCTGTCTCTTTCACTCCCGTTTGGTTAGCTGACATTTCCTATTTAAAGCCGGTGTTGCAATATTTTAGGTAATATTAATGACTTTTGTCTATATGTTTTTAATGTCTGTTGTTGATGATGAAGATATTAATTTGTCATATTGTTATTGGTTTGTATTGCATCTTATATTGCTGACAACAGTTCATTTCTTTTCATTGTCAACGAATTTTAGTCATGTATAATTGTCTTTCTTCATGTTGTTTATCTATTTTATAGTAGCATATATATCTCTCTTTTTACTTAACATAGTTCATCCTTGGTTTCAATCTATGCTAATGATTGTTGTAGTCCATTTTTGTCAATTTGTTGCCATGTAATTTATTCAAAAATTGCTCTAAATGTATTTCTACTTATGTAGATTCTGATTTCAGACTCTGATTTTGTTTGTAGTTTTTTGTTTTACAAGTATTTGAATATCTTTTTTTCCCTTTTTTTTTACTTGCTCTAACATTTTTGCCTTTTTGGTTCCCTGGTTCCATCTTCGTCCACTTACTGCTCAGTCTTTTAAACTATGTCTCTTTCACCTATGTTTGGTTCGCCCATATTTCATGTTTAAGGCAATTTTCATAGCGTTGCAGGTATTGTTGAAAACTTTTGCCCATATGCTCTCAATTGATATTGAGTGTATTGGTTACTTTTGATGCTACTACTTCCTATTGTATGTTATAGTGCTTAAAAAAAATCACTTTTTGTTGCCGTGACTATCAGTCTTTATGTTTTATTATTGTATAGTGATGGCATATTGATTTCTTAGTCATTTTTTCTATAGTCACACATATATGTGTACCTATTTTTCTTTAGCATATTTTATCTTTCCTTCCCTTTGGGGCGTGGCAATGATGATTACATTTGGTTTGGGGCTCTCAGTTCTATCTAATCTGTCCAAAAATTGATGTGAATGAACCTCCTTATTTGGATCTTGATTTTGCCTATCCTTTTGGACTAAAACACTTTAAATATCTTCTCTTCTTTTCTTTGGCATGTGGTAGTGATGATCATAATCAGTTTTGGACTCTTGAATTTGAATTAATCTATCCAAATTTTGCTATGAATAAACTCTTCCTATTTGAATTTTGATTTTTTGTATATTTTTTACTAAAACAATTTAAACGCCTTCCCTTTGTTCTTTTGCTCTTCTTTCGTTTAAGGCTATGACATTTGAGATGCCTATTCAGTTGAATTCACATTTTCTATCTTTTTCTTCACTGGGTTTTTTCATTCTATTTCTTTCATGATTTCATGAATTTTGATTTTCAACACACAAACAACATCATTGTTACTCTTTCATTTCTTAATTTTTAGCTTTTAATATTTATGTTTTTAAGTATTTGATTCAAAATTTATTCCTCCATATAATGTCTTCTTATCCTATCTCTTTGCTCTTTTAAGTCCTCTATTTGGAACATATCATTTTCCTTTTTCTCCCCCCTTTGCCTGTACCATTTATTTCCCTATTTTCTTTTGCTTTGCTTTACAAATGCTTTTGGGTTTTTCCCTTGGCCTACGATTTCCCTATCTGTTTTTGTTCTATATGCTTTCGTTTTTCCCATTGTTTTTAGCCTCAGCCTTCCAAATGACCTTGACCCGAATGGAATCTGCGTATTAATTGGCTATTTGATGCTTTGACTGTACTTGCTTCTTCTATTTTACTTGGACAAAAGGTAGACCAATTATGCACTGTTGACACATGCGCCATTTATTATCCATTGTGTGGCCAGTTTCTGTCCAGCCTCATTGTCCTTTTAATGCTGCTGTTTTTCTCCTCTTTTAATTCACCGGGTAGTTTTTGGACAGATTTATACTTTATTTCGACCATTTATTTTGTCACGCATATGTCATAATCTGCATGGCAAATATAGCATCTGACTAATTTTTGTGCTTTTATGCAGTTGCCACTGATAGGCAGCCATAAAATGGGCATAAAAATACAAGTCAGTTGATTTACTATGCAGTTGTTGACAAGTTAATATATTGAGCCACAATTAGTATGTAAAAGCATTATTAGATTCATAATTTATCAACTTCCTCCCATTGAATCTTTCTTATTACTTATTATTTCGCTTATATCTCACAATTAGTTTGTGTTTGGGCCTTCCTCTTTATGAAATTGACATAATCAGCTTTTATCGTGAGAAATTTCTTGTCTACTTGTTTATAAATGGACCAGATAGTTGAAGACATGCGAATACATGCATAAATTGGTTGCTTTATCTATTGTTTATTTATAGGTTTAATTCATGTACTACTTCTACCTTATTGATTTGCTATGTACATAATGATATTTAATATTGTAAATTATGAATTTATCTTATTGTAAATATGTAGTTATTGTAAATATTTTTCTATTACTTACAATAAATTATAGGTACAAATATCGAATTTTGTACATCCCTTGCCATAGAATTATTGATGTAATTATTTGTTGTTCGTTTTAATATGCTCTAAATATATGTTCCAATTATGACAAAATGCCATTTATGTCCAGCTAATTTAAGTTGCTTTATTTATGACAAAAATTATGAACTTCTACAACACAAAATTATCTCTCAATTTGCCCGCGTACACTGCTAGTTAATTCTACGATAAATTTGTTGATCAATTATAGAAATTTGTTGCAAATGTTTGAAGAATGCTACGTGAGTTTAAGGTGGTGGTAAGATGCTTATTAAGTTGAAAAGAAAGTTTTATAGAATTGCAATCTGCCTAGCTATGTTATATGGTAGTGAATGTTGGGCCATTAAAAGACAACATATATGTAAGATGAGTGTGGCAGAAATGCATATGTTAAGATGTATGAGTTGCCATACGAGAATGGATTGCATAAGGAATGAAGTTATTCGTAATAAAGTAGGTGTAGCACCAATAGAAGATAAGGTGCGCGAAAGCTGCTTGAGGTGGTATGAGCATGTCCAACGTAGACCGTTAGAAGCACCAGTTCATGCTTGGGAGGACATTCTTATACCTAATACTAGGAGAGGGAGGAGTAGACCAAGAATTCTATGGACCGAAGTAATTAGAAAAGACATTCTAGATCTAGGCCTAAGAAAAGTCTAATTTCGAACATAGTTGCGTAAAAAAGTGAAATTCATATAGCCGATCCCAATTAAGTTGGAATTAAAACTTGTTGTTGTTGTTGTTTGCCATGTGTAAACTAGTTGATGTAGCTAGAAATAAGCCCTTAATTACTTACCTAAATTAAATATGTGGCTAGACTAGTTCAAGGAGCTTATAAGCAAGTTCGGTTTCCATTCTTATTCGATCTACTTTTGTTGTAATTGTTTATCCTCTATTCATTTTATACCATGTTTAGTAGCTTGTATTGTATTGTATAAGGTGTATTGTATATGTTGTATTGTTATAATACAACACAATGTTTACTGTCATGATGTACTGTATGAAGGGTCAAGGGTCAAATTGTAAACTTTTAAAAATTTCAAGGTTAAAATGCAATGTTTTTAAAAATTTAGGACCAAGATGTAAATTTTCAAAAATTTTGGAGTCACATTTTGATTTTAAAGAAACTTTGAGGTCAAAATGTAATTTCTAAAAAATTTGTGATCAAACTATGATTTTTAAAAAATTGATGGGTCAACATGCACTTTTTAGAACATAAAAATTTTCGTTGTACTCCCTCAATTTTCAAATAGTGATAAGTTCTAGTATGACCCTTTGTCAGTCTGACTCCAACCCCTAAGTCGTACTCAATTAAGGATCCGTTATAAAATAATACAATGCAATAATAAGCTGTATTCATTGACAATTCATATTAATTTACACAGTACAATGATCACACTAAATATTATAATGTGTTATTATAAAATACGATACTTTAATAGTCAAACAAACATGTTCTTAGTCAAATAGTAAAAACAAAATTTATATCACCACATCAAGTGATGACTTTTGCTTAACAGCATGTCATGTTGGACTCATAGAATTGTGATCCATAAATTGAAAACATTATTTTTGTATTACAAATCATAACAAAGAATGAACAATCAATATAAATTCCGACAAATTTCATCCAAAAAAAAAAAAAAAAAAAACCTCCGCGTTACAAGTGGTTCACTCGAAACCAAACAGAACAAAACAAACCAAAAACAAATAACATTAAAAAGATATATAAAAAAAAAAAGCAAGCATGCAAGCTTTAGAAAAACAAAGAAAAGAATTTCAATTCTCCTTTCTTAAGAAGAAATTAAAAAATATATATATATATCCTTTGGAAGAACCTGCAGCGTCAAATTTTTGTTTTAATCTCTGAAAATTAATTAAACTGTCTTGGGAATTAGAGCATAAGAAGAAAACACAGATAATACGGCTGTACAAACTGTTGCAAGCAAAAGGAGGCTGGCTGATGCATACGACTTGGCGTAGAAATCGTCTCCCAAAAAAATATTTAACTTATTGAACAACATCTGCATATCGTTGGTAACTCCAAATCCTGAAGCCGCACCTGTGGCTAATACGTACGACATAATCTGCCCAATTCAAACATATATACTTAGGTTATAAATAATTGGGAATATATATATATATATATGTATCCCGTCAATTAAGACATTAATTCAGCAGATGAGGCTCATTATTTGTGAGTAGTGATGAATTTCTAATTCTGTGGGGTTAAGGAATCGACTATTGTACCTTATATTAAATGAAATGGTGGTACTCTATTAAATAATTGACGGTATTTTACATTGGTCTAAAATCATAATTCATTGGTTTTAGACGTGCTAATGAGTTTAAGCACTGATAAACTATAGTCTTAACATAGTTACTTCATAATGCACAATCATAATCTGTACATTTTACTTAGCTATATATATATACCTTGTCACCGTAGAAGTCAAATAAAAGGTTGCCTTCGCTTTTGGCAATGACATTGTAGATTGTGAATGCAAGTTGCAAGAGGACAAATGCAGTGCCAATGACGATTGAAGAAAGCATGTATCTGCGCGGTTAGATAAGATTAACCATTCAATATAAGTACTCTCTTAATATAGTTGCAAACCTTAAGAACTAAGAAAAATATGGAGTTTTCATTAGAAATTACTAGAAATATTAGAAAACAGTATAGTGTGTATATATATATATATATATATATTTTTTTTTTTCGGTTCGAAAAGCATGCAGATCACAACTAAACGACACCTCGTCATGCTATATATTTGACTTGTTGCGGAAAAAGAGAAACCATGTTGCAAACGAAATTTCGCTCCATCTTTATTGTTTGCTGTTGTACAAGGTGAAATAAATACATATCGTTTTAGCTCTTCATCAGGTTGCCCTTATCTTTTCCAAACGACATGTAGATTATCGATTAATATTTTGCTGCCTTTTAAGTTTGAAAACGACACATACTTTGTCATCTAAAACGTTCCTGTCTCGCTTGTATTTGAAAGTCTTCTTCGTTTGTGTTGTAAAAAGAAAACTAAGAATTTATCCAAAAAAAAAAACAGAGGACGAAGAAGAAGAGGCAAGTTCTGAAATATTCATGGTGTTTCTATTAAAGACATAAACGAAGTGCAGGATGTCGTATGTGGTTTTTAGCATAAAAACGAGAAGTTTTCAAAACATTAACTCCAGCAACAATGGTTTGCAAATTTATTTTTCATTTTCGTAAATAATTGAAATAAATAACATACATGTAAGAAATAAGAAGTCTTAAAGAGGGACGAGAAAAAAGAAGAATTCAAAATCATGATTCAGAATCATTTTCGGTTTACGTGTATTTTTTATAAGAGAAAATACTGTAGCGAACCACGAACCCTGATTTAAATTAAGGTATAAATCCACTAACCAAACGCACCATTAGAAATTAGATATGTACATACACACACAACATTCACAAACATTATAATATACCTGTTTCTGGCTAATTTATAAGCGTACTTAACAGAAAAGCTAATAAAAAAACTCATTATATTTCAGTACTCTTTTACCATTACGTACCACCTAAATTCATAAAAGAAAAGGTTAACTTTGCATTAGTAATGTTTCATTGAGCTAGCACATACCGGTAAGCAATAACATCCTGAAATCTGAAATCCTGTTCAGCAAAAACATCGGTTCCTTTTGCTGTGGTTGTATTGGTACAAATAAGAATGAGGGATATAAGTAGGAGAACAAAAACGAAGACTCTCAGTACAAGATTCACAATACATGAGGCTGCTAATTTTGCCATCTTCTTCGGACAAATTATGTTCCACACACCAAGTTACTACTAAAAATCCTCTATTTAACAACAGTATTAAACTCTCGTTAAATTTTTAACGACAATTGCGCAACTTGCGTTTTTGATATCTGAAATCTGATAATTGTTAGCCTTTTATAACGTACTACAAAGTACGTAGCAGCAAATTATTCCATGCATACCGAGTCAATGAGCCGAAGGGTTGAAGCACCACTATATAATTAATTAATTATAATCCTAGAGCTAGAAGAAGATTTTACTTTCTTTTAAAAAAAGGAAAATGATCGGACATTCTATAACGTGGGCATCACGATCTTCTACTCGTTGAATTTTCTTGCCATATATCTGCCCTAATCATTGCTTCTTTACTCGATTTAGAAGTTTAACTTCTTTTTGTTATAGGGGAATTAAACTATACGTTTTTCTCTTAATTAATTAGCTTTTGTATTGACCACTAACTCTATGGTTTTGCAATGACTCTGGCAGCAATGTATGTGTATATATGTGTGTGTGTGCGCGTGTATATAACCAGCAAGTGGACACGTCTCAGAATTTCTGCCATATTTGAATTCTATTTTTAATGTCTAATTATTTTATAAATACTGATATACGATATTTAAATACTCGTACTTAGCACAATTGGAATTTATCATTATTTTCTTAATTTTTTATAATATATATTATCAACTTGCATTCTAATTTTAGCTAATTTGGTGTTTTTAGTTTTCATTTGAATTCTTCCATACACTGACCTTGTGAAGTCAACGCCATATGCAAAGAGGTCTAAGCGAGGGTGTATCTCTGTGTAATTTGTCTTTTGGAAGGTCGATAAGAACACGAGCAGCTGCCTCAATGTGTATGTCTATGGCCCCATTTGGAATGACTTAAAATAAGCAGCTTTCTGTTTATTTAGCCTAAGAACTAGTTTTTGACGTGTTTGGATAGAGACACTAAATGGCTTTTAATTTTTATAAGCTCTTTTAAAACAAGACACTTTCATGGTGCTTATTGAAAAAGAAATTACAAAATCTTTTGTATTTATATTTTTTTACCTTTTTATTTTTGAATAATAAAGTAAAAATTACCTCCATATATACTTGTATTACATTATATTTTATAGCAATGAGAGCTTTTAATTTATTTAACTAAACAGATTCAAAAGTCCTTCTAACATTAAAAAACTTTTTTCCACATGCTATTTAAACAGTAATTACAAAGTCTTCACTCATACTTCTCTTTCTGTTACTGCTTAAAAGTAAACGCAAATAATCTTATTCTAATATATTGACCTATATAGTTTTGTTTCTTTTCTTGTCAAGAGAGAGGGATGTCATCTCTACATTTTTTTTTTTTTTGATAAATTGAGGAGAATAGATAACTAGTATCTAGATTCACCAAGACATCATAATTAGATTGGCATGGCTCTTAAAATCTATCTTCCATCAAGTCTCTATCACTCCAATATTATTAATAAGAAAGCAAAAAAATTACAAAAGATGAAAGAAACATCCTGAAAATAAAAAAAAAAAACAGAAAATAACCTAACAAAAAGGCCAAAACAAGAACAAAATATTAGTTAGAAACTCATTTCACAGGATAAAGCCAAAACTTACACTTGAAAGAAAGCTACAAATATACCTCGTTAAAAACCTTTTAGCCAAAACCCAATGGGAAAAAGAGTACATATTTACTCGTAGAGTCGACTGTGAACGAAATCTATAATTCAGAAGACCTTCCATATCCTTGCTAACAATTGCCTTGTAGAAATTAGGAACAGTAGAAAGTTGCTTGTGAAGAAACTCCAAAAAAAAAAAAACCAACTTATCAACCACATAATTGCCCTCTCGAAAAATATGCGAAGCCCATAAAGAAATAGAATTCAAAAAAGAAATCGACCGAATCCAACGAAACTTGAATCTCCAAAGAACCTCAACGCTTTTTTAAATCAAGAGATTCACCACATATGTCGAGTGACATAAACCATAAGACATTTCAAATGAATCTTTTAGTATATTCAATGGCTCCCATAAGATCTCTACATAATTATCATAAAAGAAAAAGATTTTTCAAAAATTAATTCTTTCATTGGATTAATGCAAAGAAGATTGTGTTTAAATAAAGAAGATCAACCATACACGATTACTGATCTAAAGGAGAAACTACAGACACATATGGAATCCACAAGGAGAATGGAATTCCTATATTTACAACATTCAGTTTCAATTTGAAGCTGACATGATAGAGTTTGCGCTTCTGGACCAAGAACTTTGAACCCAGAAATTTCACAGGTCAAACCTTGGATTCAGGAATATTTTAATCTGTATAAACAGAAGACATGGGTCAAATTCCATGGCCTTAGGATAGAATACAGGGATCTGAAATTCTTATTGGAGTCCCGCTCAAAATTGGTACCTTAGGACGACAGTTGATGGAGAGTATGGACATTTGGCCCGAATTCTAATGTTGATTTTGTTGGTTTCGCAAACCAAAAACACGAAAAATTGCAGTACGGTAAACAATTGGATCTTAGGATTTATCTGAGGAGCTCCTCCATTCATTGTACAGCTGTGGATTAATGCAAAAAGCAACCTAATTCTTGCCGTCATTGCAAAGCACTTGGTTATTTGGTCGTTAATTGTCACTAAACGAATAAGGAAACCGTTGAAGATGTTTCAAAAAAAAAAAAAAAAAAAAAAAAAAAAAAAAAAAAAAAAAAAGAAAAACAAAAAAAAGGAAAAAAAAAAAAAAAAAAAAAAACAACAACAACAAAAGGCAAGCTAGCTAAATGTGCAAAGGTAAAACTAGGGTTGACAATCCGGGTAGCGACACGAGAACACGACTCGAAATCCGCATGAAATTAACGGGTTTAGATTTATCATAAATAGGTCCGGGTCAAAATCAGGTCAAACTCGTGAAACACGATTAAATAACGTGTCATTTTCAGGTTGACCCGCCAACTCGCAATTGACCCGCCATAATACGTTTATTAAACGTGTCATATTTGGGTAACATGAATACACAACCCGTTTATTACCCATTTTATAAACAGGTTCAAAAATAAGTTTAGAAATAGATAACGACCCATTTATCACCTATTTTATAAACATGTTCAAAAATAGGTTCAAAAATAGGTTAACACGACTCATTTATCATCCATTTTATAAACGGCTTGACAGATAATCAACGGGTTGACACGACACGTTTATGACCTGTTTAATAAACGGGTTATTCGTGTCGTGTCGTGTCAACCCGCCAATATACAGGTCGTGTTCGGGTTTTATATTTCGACACGATTAATAAACGAGTCGTATTTGTGTCAGGCCTATTCGTGTCAACTAAGTGGGTCAACACGACACGAACACGTCAACCCAAATTACCACCCCTAGGTAAAACAACATATATTTTCTTATTAAGACCACGTCCCTCGTACTTAAAGGAAAAAAAAAAAAAAGAATGGCCATTTACGGATTTTAATCACACACACATAACTAATTACTTGCTACTTGATATCACATGATTTTGTTCTAATGTAGAGGTAGCTTTCCATAAGAACATTTATTATAATTGTTACATTAGATGTTACGTCTGGTGTTCTAGATGATATTGGAATATTATTTGGAACACAGTTTAATTAATTAATATATTGGTTAATTATGTTCAGTTGCTCGTGCAGAAAGTAAAAGAATACACAATATGATATCGCAGTTTGGTGCGCACACTTACATCTGCGGGGCCACACCCAAACAGTAAACAATTTCACTATGTTCCATAAATTACAGACACTAGACGGACTTATTCACTCAAGGACTCCCTCCTAGACGCGTGCACCACACGCCTTCTATTCACCTGGTGAACTCCCTTCGACCGGCAAAGCTTCCTCCCGAAAGCAACAAATCCCTCTCCCGAAGGACGATCTCAATAACGCACTAGTCTTTTCTAAAAATATTCTATTAAACCCATGTCGATTATGAGCTGTGATGAAGCCTTTAAATAAAGCTTCTTAGATTTCACAAGAATCTACTCCTCAAAATATCTTCGAGCTATCTTATCAAAGCTCCTGCATGTTATCTCCACGTTGAGCATATTCACTACAAGAAAAAGGGGTTTTGCAATGACAAAAAGTCATCGTAAAAACCCGCATGCCGCCCAAATAAGGTTTTTTACGACGACATGTCGTCACAAATTTGTCGGCGCAAATAATTTGTCGCAAAAGGTTTTTTGCAACGACATAGTGTCCTCGCAAATGTATTTGCGACGACAATCGTCGCTAATACGTCATTACAAATTTCTCATGATATGATCCATTTTTTGCGACGACATTTCAAATTGTCATCGCAAATAATCTTATTTTTTTGCGACGACAAGTCTAAAAAAGTCGTCGCAAAAAACTGAAATTAATTTTTTTATAATTTTTAAAAAATGGCAATTAATTAATTTTGAATTAAACATTATTATGTTACATACTGAATAGAGTTTATTAAGATACATGAAAAGTGAAATATAAATTAATATTAGAAACAGTAAATCTAAATAAATTTATAAAATATATTATGAATACTACATGAAGTGCATATATAATGTTCAAAAAAATATAAAAGTCTAAATAAAGTGAAAAATAAAAAAGTACATATAACAGAACTAATCGTCTAAGTTTGAAGCATCGTCAGCATCTGAATCATCATCAGGACCGTCATCATCTGAAGGAGGCAGAGGAGCGTCTAGGTCAACTGGTTCTGGACGATCAATCGTAGGTAATTGGATGTTGGGCTGCAATTTAGCCATCAACTCTAACACCTTCACCTGATATGGCCAAGGACGGCTGATATGGCCACTTGAAGTTTCATAATTTTTGGCGACCTCAATAAAAGCAAATAACTCATTCCAATATTGATCCGACAATCGGTTCCTCAAATAAATTCAACTTTTGTCAATCGTCATTTCAACTATACACAACAACAGACATAACAATTTATTAATGTGTTTAATTAATT